TTTTTTTTTTTTTTTTTTGTGGTACGTGGGCCTCTCACTGCTGTGGCCTCTTCCGTTGCGGAGCACAGGCTCCAGGTGCGCAGGCTCAGTGGCCATGGCTCACGGGCCTAGTCGCTCCGCGGCATGTGGGATCTTCCCGGACCGGGGCACGAACCCGTGTCCCCTGCATCGGCAGGCGGACTCTCAACCACTGTGCCACCAGGGAAGTCCCTGTATTTTATTTTTAAATAATGCTTTATTCTGAGTATAAAGTAATGTAGAGTCTTAGAAAATAAAGAAGGAAGAAGAAAATAAAACCTACCTTGAATATCATTCAGGGAATCCTAATAGGAATTATGTAAAACATTAAATAATTTGCAATATTTGACCTTTCATCCATCACTTGCAAAAACCAAAAGATTGATTTAAGTACATGTTCATTAGGGAATTCTACCTTGCACTGTTCTACTTTATTTCCAGCTTCATCCATCTCTTCCTTTAGGGTATCTATTTTTGATGGAAGCCCCTGAAAGTTGGTTCCTGAAGATTTGTGAGCCTGGTTCCATCTGCAAAGCACAGGCATAGCCATTATTTGAAAAGCAGCTGTATATACTCAACCTTATGGAGTTAAGGACCTAATGGAGACAGACTCATTCCCCAAAAGTGATCCTACCTGGGACAGGTATCAGCACCCAGGATGGCAGCTTCTCTGGAGTTTATCCTTTAAGAATGGAAACGGGCAAAGGTGACACGGGCTTCCCGCTGTGACAGGACTGTGGTAGTGCTGAGAGTAGCTGTCTGCTCTGAGCAGAACTGGCCACGCCTTGTCCCATGCAAGCCCAACTGCTGCAAATCAATCCGTGGAACCCCTTCCTCTACTGTCCGATCTTGGGCTCTTTCCCGTCAAACACCCCCTTGTCCTCTTGCTTCGATCTAGAATGTTCCCTGTGCCACTGAGGGTCAGTTGCTGCTCTTCAGGACCCCTTATAACACCGCCTACTACCATCCTGACTTGTGATTACTTTCAGTAAGTGAAAGCCGGAACTTCAGTCATGGAGCTAGTAATTGATAGCTGTGAAAGCGTGTTAAGAATTAAAATCATTTGTAAGGATTGATACTAGTATCTACAGCAAATCTGAAACATAATGTGGAATGTTTATATTCCCTTCATAAGTAAGTCAAGAGGACCCCCTCCCCCCAAATTATACTATAGCAATAGTTGGGGGAAGTGAATGGGGAAGAATAATCTAAAACAATTTCTATTTGGTTTTCAAGTGTGTTTTGACCTTCCGTTTAATTACGGACATGCCTGCTATGGCAGAAAGTTCTAGCACTTTATTTATTTGTCGTTCTTAAAGCCTTTACCTTTCAGACATGACAGAAAAATCTTACAGGTACACATGGAAAAGTAATACATGATCACAGTTGAAAGTGAAGACAATCTAGTCAGAAAGCTTTTACTCCTGTCAGCTAAGGTTGAAGGTGAAGTTGTGAGCATGGCACGTGCTGCAGGGCTGAGGGCAATGGTAACCTGCCTTCCTCCTCTCCCTCTCCTTCAACAGAATCCACACCAACCTCCTCATAATCCTTCTCAAGGGCAGCCATGTCCTCCCGGGCCTCAGAAAACTCTCCTTCCTCCGTGCCCTCACCCATGTGCCAAAGGCACGCTTGGCACACATCGGGTCAAACTGGTGGTCCAGGCGAGCCCAGGCCGCAGCGATGGCTGTGGTGTTGCTCAGCATGCACACAGCTCGCTGTACTTTGGCCAGGTCTCCACCAGTGGGAGGCTGGTAATTAGTGCCAACTTTGAAGCCAGTGGGGCACCAGTCCACAAACTGGATGCTGCGCTTGGTCTTGATGGTGGCGATAGCAGCATTGACATCTTTTGGAACCACGTCACCATGGTACAACAGGCAGCAAGCCATGCATTTACCATGGTGAGGGTCGCATTTCACCATCTGGTTGGCTGGCTCAAAGTAAGCATTGGTGATCTCTGCTACAGAAAGCTGTTCACGGTAGGCTTTCTCAGCAGAGATGACAGGGGCATATGTGGCCAGAGGGCAGTGGATGTAGGGATAGGGCACCAGGTTGGTCTGGAATTCTGTCAGATCAACATTCAGGGCTCCATCAAATCTCGGGGAAGCAGTGATGGAGGACACTATCTGGCTAATTAGGTGGTTAAGATTCGTGTAGGTTGGGCGCTCAATATCGAGGTTTCTATGACAGATGTCATAGATGGCCTCATTGTCTACCATGAAGCCACAGTCAGAGTGCTCCAGGGTGGTGTGGGTGGTGAGGATGGAGTTGTAGGGCTCAACTAGGCCCGTGGAAACCTGGGGGACTGGGTAAATGGAGAACTCCAGCTTGGACTTCTTGCCATAATCGACAGAGAGTTGTTCCATCAGCAGGGAGGTGAACCCAGAACCAGTTCCCCCACCAAAGCTGTGGAAAACCAAGAAGCCCTGAAGACTTGTGCACTGGTCAGCCAGTTTCCGAATTAGGTCCAAGACGGGGTCAATGATCTCCTTGCCAATGGTGTAGTGACCTCGGGCATAGTTATTGGCAGCATCTTCCTTGCCTGTGATGAGCTGCTCAGGGTGGAAGAGCTGGCGACAGGTGCCAGTGCGAACTTCACCAATGACCGTGGGTTCCAGGTCCACAAACACTGCCCTGGGCACATGCTTGCCAGCGCCTGTCTCACTGAAGAAGGTGTTGAAGGAGTCATCTCCTCCCCCAGTAGTCTTGTCACTTGGCATCTGGCCATCGGGCTGGATGCCATGTTCCAGGTAGTAGAGCTCCCAGCAGGCACTGCCGACCTGGACACCAGCCTGGCCAACATGGATGGAGATGCACTTATGCATGGTGGCTACAGGTCAGCAGGCACAGGCAACAGGAGTGGATACCGGGTCCTGGTTACCGTCCTCAACAAGCTAAGAGTCGAGGTTAAGTAACGCACTCTCTATCACTTTAAATTTAAACATGGATATTACACAGATGCAGCATGAAAGCCCATGTTAGCAACTTATCAAGCTTCCCAGATGACTGCATTGCCCCCAGAATGCTCTGCCCTGCCCTCTTTCACGTTCCTGTTGTGATGCACTTCTCCACGGCAAGGCTTCAGTAAATCTGCTGAAGCAAAGCTGGAAATGGAAAGAGCATGGACTTCGGAGTCTGACAGGCCGAAGTCCGAAGCTCGGCTCCACCTTCGTTAGCCGTGTGACCTTTGGCAATGGCCTCACCTCTCTGTGCCTCAGGTTGTCTCATATGTCAGACTAAGGAAGCAAATACCGTCTGCCCGGCAGAACTGTCATGAGCAGCAGAAGAGAGAATAAATATATATATGCCTGTGTGTGAATATGATGGATTCCCACTAATGTTAGCTATCACCATTTTCCTCCAGGGAAAAGCCACAGGAATAAGTCAAATAAAGAAGAAATATTGATCTGTTTCAGTTTCTCTAATACCTACTTTGATTAGTTAAGTGAACAGGACCATGAATGCAGGACCAAGAATCAGTGCTGAAATCTCCCCTGGGACGCATGTGCTGCAGATGTAAGATTCCCGGCATCTATAATATCGCTCAACCAACTCCAGCAAGAGCGCATTCACGGCCTTGTTTAATTAACTATTAGAACATTTTCCCTTATCTCCAGCAAAAACCTACCACAGGGGGGCCTGCACTCCCTGATCCTGGTTCTGGCCACAGGGCTCTAATCACACGTGTGTGTGTGTGACAAGGAGACGGCAGACTCTGCGTTCAGAAGCCTAGCCCTGACGTTTATTATGTCTAAGACGCAAAGCAAGTCATAGACACGGCATGTGCAGGTGCCTCCAGTGTCTGTACAACAAATCTCCTCTCAAAGTAGGGGGTGTCACGTAACCTCCTAACCTCTGTCCCCTCCAACTCTCACTGAAGGGCCTCTGCACTTAGTGTCCAACACGGAGCCTGACCCACAGCGAGCACCTACTCGATGTCTGCTGAAAACACAAGTGGACAAATGAATAGGGATTGCTGGGAGAATCGAAAGAGCCGACATATCACATACGTAGTCTGATATCTGGCACGTGGCAAGTGTCTAGTAAGTGGTGGCAATGATCATGTTCACCATGTGCTAATTCCTAGCTGTCCCTCTTATCATCTCAACTTTTCTTAAGTCAGGACATGTCTTACCAATTGATTTGTACACTTAATAAAGTGGTGTTTCTATTTCATTTTCCCCCCAAAATCGGATATTAAATCACTGGTGCATCTGACACTCAGCGACATTTTAGAAACAAGGAAATCTGCAATGAAAGCATCTGACACGGGGCTTCCCTTGTGGCGCAGTGGTTGAGAGTCCGCCTGCCAATGCAGGGGACACGGGTTCAAGCCCTGGTCCGGGAAGATCCCACATGCCACGGAGCAACTAAGCCTGTGCACCACAACTACTGAGCCTGTGCTCCGCAACAAGAGAAGCCACCGCAATGAGAAGCCCAAGCACCACAACCAAGAGTAGCCCCCGCTCACTGCAATTAGAGAGATCCCACGCGCAGCGACGAAGACCCAACGCAGCCAAAAAAAAAGCATCTGACACGTAGAAAGTTAGTAAATGATCTCTGTATCTCCATTTATTTGCCAAACAGAAATAATCATGTCTACTTCACAAGAGTGCAATGAGGATTAAAAGAGTTAACGAAGCAGGGCTCAGCAAAGCCACTTGCTTTTGTAAATAAAGTTTTATTCGAACACAGACTTGCTCATTCATTTATGTATTGCCCAGGGCTACTTTTATGCTACAACAGCAGAGCTGAGTAGTTCGAACACGGAGCATCTGGGTTGCAAAGCTGAAAATATTTAGTACCTGGCCCTTTACAGAACAAGTCTGTCAACACTTGTATAAGGTATGAGAAAGGATGGGGCCCGTGGCAGCTACCTCCCTACTCCTCTCATATGAGTCATTGATACAAATGCCCTCATGGATGGAGCTGAGGCTGGAGCCCAGCCACGGAGCACTACAGACGGGTCATCTGACATCAGCCCTCTGGGATGGCTACTAGGTCTTACTTAGTTCCTCCCTGTTGAGCACAGCATTTCTTGATTGTGAAAAACGATCCTAACCACACAGGTGTTTTTTGACACAGTGGGACTCTTGGCAGCTGCTAAGATCACAGATCTATTCATTCCTACACTCCACTACTCCAAGGACAACGCTCTTAGAACTGTCTGCCACCATTTCTTCTCCCCAGAATACACTTATTTAGGTTTTCTTTTCCCTGTCTCCTTTCACTGTTGGTTGACTAAGAACAGGGTGTTCTAACATCATCCCGCTGCCATGCTTGGGAGAATGAGGCCTGAAAGCAGGTGTAAGTAGGCTGTGACTCAGTCTGTGAGCCAAGTGTGTGAATCTGTGATGACGTCTGTTTCGTGCACCCAGTGGTCTTTATACGTGTTGAGGAGGGGGATGGTTGCTGGGGATGTGACAGAAAACCGCATTATTGGTTATTTTTCACATCTTTATCTTACCTGGCTCTGACCGAGTCCCAGTCTAAAACCAATTTGGCGAGCTGCTTCCTCTGTTTCTGGATGTTAGGAATCTCTACCTGGACAGAAGAACACACCACATATGAAATGGGATGAGCTTCGGGGTTTTCAGTTTAATCTCTGAAAGTGTAATCTTTATTTACCATTTTCTTTTTTTTCTTAGGCAAAGGATTTTGTACCCTCAACTTACTCCCCTTATTTCCAAAAAGAAGTATGCCAAAGCCACTGATTATTGTTAAAGTTTCAGACACAAGTGAACCATTCCCCACCCATCCCCCGCCAAAGCACCCACCTCTGCTATGCCGTACAGAGGGTCCACAATCTCCTTCTCGACAAAGACTTCATGCTGAGAGAGTTCCAGAGCCAGCTGATTCTCAGCATCTCCACACGTCTCCAGCATCTTCCTTTAAAAACAAGATGCCCAACAACAAACATACGTCCATTAAATCTGGCACCAGATTCCCACACTGAGCCAGCTCTGCTCTCCGTTCTACGATAGGAACGCATTAGGGCACTATACAATAGAGACTTGAAAGTACTATAAACTTAGGGTGTGAGTCCACAGACTTGTGCTTTAAAATGAACAAGACTGGGCTTCCCTGGTGGCGCAGTGGTTGAGAGTCCGCCTGCCGATGCAGGGGACACAGGTTCGTGCCCCGGTCTGGGAAGATCCTACATGCCGTGGAGCGGCTGGGTCCGTGAGCCATGGCTGCTGAGCCTGAGCGTCCGGAGCCTGTGCTCCGCAACTGCAGAGGCCACAACAGTGAGAGGCCCGCGTACCAAAAAAAAAAATAAATAAATAAAATAAAATGCACAAGACTATCTCAGGTATAATTTGTGTGTACGCGTGCGGGATGTGTGTAAACAGTGAGGTGAGAACTCACTGAAAGATTAGGTCCTCAGGTGAAAAGCAAGTATTCTCAAAAGTACCCCGAAAATCTTTTAAATCATATGTAACGTTTATTATACTATACTGTTTTCTGTCTGCTAGTAAGTCCGGCCTAGGCAGTGTCCTTCAAAGAACGACAGAGCACTGTAGGTCGTGGAGCATGGCAGACCCTGGGAAATGGGCTGAAAAGTCCAAAGGCCATATCCAGCTGGGAAAGGAGGGCCCATGTTACAGCAGGAAAGAGCAGACAGGATCAAAGGACACTGGCCTTGTAGAGAAGCAAGTAGAAGGAAAGGTCAACCTTCCCTCTTACAATGAAAACAGCTTTATTATTAGATTTTAAACTTATTTATCTAATACATGCTCATTGTAAAACAAAAAAATCCACATAATTCAGAAAAGGCACTATTTTGAGACAACCTTCACTGACATTACAGTGATCATCTTTAAAAGAAGTGACTTTTAAGGACTAGATGGGACTGGTCAGGGCTTATAAATCTGAGTCAACACCTGAACCACAGAAGGGACTGAGTTCTTTATATCCAAGCTCAGCAGATTAAATAATTGACCTTATCAATTACTTTTGTTATTGGCCCTTTGTATCATCCATCCTTGCTTCTACTAAAAGGAAGATTCTCTAGCATCCCAGTGGCCTCCCACGGGGCCTCAGCCTCTGGTCACACATGTGGCTGCCATGTACACCACCCAGCCATCCACCTCTACCAACCCACAGGGTGCATGGCTCTCTTTCTGAAATAGCCCAACTCTTACCCCAGGAGAGAGTCTTCTAGCTGAGTTGATGCTTCTTGCATATTCTGAGCGAGAGCTGTCAGAGGGAGTTTTTTCTGGAAGGCAGAAGACAATGCATTTTTTTTTTTCATTATAATTGACACCCATTCTCAATTACCTACTTCAGATCATCAGTCACTGGTTTCTCCTCCAGGTAAACTGCACAGGTAAGAGATATCCTGTCTGGGTTCAGGTTCTGGTCTCAAAGGTATGAGCTGTGTGACTTAAGCTCTGTGTCAGTTTCCTTATGCCTGGAAATTAGGGATAACAGTGCGAGGGTCCTTGGGCTGTCCGTTGACTAAAGGAGATATTCAAGGTCAAGTACCCCAAGTAAATGTATCACGTAACATTTACTGAGTACATGATAAGTACTCAGTAAATATTAGCTGCTATTATTACTGTTGTCGTTGCTATTACTATAATTACTATAATCAAGAGCATACTATGACCCAGACGCTGGGGACATAAGACATACACCGTGCCCTCTGATTATCATGACAAATAAATGCAATGAAGTGCTCAATTTTAAAAACTTTTGCTAGAATAATTCTTAAACTGGCTCTTAAATTGGCTGGAATCATAAAGATTTAGCTTTAGTTAAAGATCTGAAAATATCTAGCTAAATATCCAAAAAATTTAAAAAAATTTTTAGGCACCAAGTCACTCATTTTCCTATCAGAGATTTGTTTTTCAGCTGGAAATGACCGTAAGGATCATCTGATTAATGTTCTAATTGTGCAGCTGGGGAATGTGAAGCCCAGGGGGATTACATGGCCTGGCCAGGCACCCTGGTGAGGGTGCCAGAGCTAGACCTCGGTGCTAAAAGCCCAAGCCCCGGTTCAGAGTCTGTCCGTGACTAGCTAATGGCTTATCTCAGAATATAGGCAGAAGAGGCCTGGAAAGTAGCATGTGGGTTGGTTATAACACCATGATCTGCTAACGAAGAATGCTTTCATTGCTGCGGTACCCCATGTAATTTTGCCTTCCCAGTAGAAAGGGAACTGATGTCAAAGACCTGGGGTCCACCTTGCCGTGGCATTGCTCTGCCTTGACCTCGGGCATGTCACCTGCCTTTCCTGCCTTCAAAGGGCTCCATCTGTTACACTTCTAGAATACCTTTGGAAGGCTGTACAAGAAACTGCTACTACTGGTGGTCCTGGAGAGGGGAACTGGGTGCCCGGGGAACAGGGCTGGGAGAGACCTCATGTTACGTTCTTTTGCGTATTATGGATTTTGACCATGTAGATGGACAGCCCATTCAAAATGGTACACAGAAACTTAAAAATAAATAATGAACAAATATATTTACCCATCTCTCCTCCCCCTCAGGTTATGTTCAAATAAATAAATAATGGGCTTCATCTGCCCCACAAGGAGACATTCCCAGCTTCCACATTAATAGACCAGGAAGATATGAGAAAATGGGCAGTGCGCTTTGATCAAAAGAGAGGATAATTCATACCTTTTACTTATGCTGCCTTTCTAAGGGAATTTAATGTAGGATAAGTGCAGTAATCAAGAGAAATATACTTTGTGCAACTCTGGAGCTCTATGGGAAAAAAAAATCATAAAGAGAGGAGTTTACTTTGACAAGTATCATTCAAGTGCCCAGTTGTAACTAACCTGTGGTTTCCATGCCCTGACTCCAAAGCATCAATAATCCTGGTTCCCGATGTACAGAAATAAGGACATTCTGCTCATTTAACATCTGAGCTGATTAATGAACATGCTGTCTACCAACATCAAACTCCTCCACGGAGAGGGCTGAGGGCTTCCTAATTTATAAAAGGCATGCCAGCTGCACGAAAAGAAATAATTCCAGGTCTAATATGAACCATGACATAAGCTATGCCATGTCAACAGTTTGGGCTGAGAAGGCCACCTGCCCTGTCTCTCTTCCCTCCAATTCTTGCCTCTTCACACGCATGGGAGCTTCTGGTGGGGCCTTTGCAAGGCTCCTCCTGTACTTTCTAGAGCGCGAGAGACTGCCGACCTCTCGTGGTCACCTATCATCTATTCCATGGCGACTCTTCGCCCCACGTGCAGAGCATAGTCAACCTCTGAGCCCTGTCTTGGGCACTTTGGTTTGAGGCTGGAAAAGGAAGCCTAAGGCATTAGGTTTTAGAAATGAGGGAGAGGCACCTTTGCCCCTATGGCCTGGAATAGGCCCATCACCTGCCACTCATTTTCCTCCTTTACAGCTAGGCCACCACCTTCACCAGGAAGCCTCCCTTGACTACCCCTCTCCTCCTCTGGTGCCCATTCTTGGTCCTCCCATAATACCCTGTGCATATTTTGTTTAGTATGTTGTTTTTATAATTATCCATTTGTGGAGGAAGCCTCCCCCACCAGGCTATGAGCACTTTTTAAGGGAGACACTACATCTAATTCATTTTATAGCTCCAGCACTTGTACATAGTAGGTGTTTGATAAATATTTGTTTGTTTTCAATGAATTTATGTGACACCTGGGCTGTGTTTCAAAGCAGACCAAAGGAACAACAAGACAATCTGCGTGAATGACAATGGCCTACAGCATGAATGGAAGGAAGCAGGAGATACTGAGACTGATAAGGGAAATGTGATCAGATTATGAAGGGCTGAAGTCATCTAAAGCGCTTGGACTTTAGGATATTTTGTACAGCACAGAGAATATGGCCAATATTTTACAATAACTTTAAATGGAGTGTAATCTATAAAAATACTGAATCATGATGTTGTACACCTGAAACTAATATAATATCAGTCCACTATATTTCAATGAAAAAAAAACAAAAGAAAAGAGCTTCGATTTTAACCCAGGCAATGGAAACCAGCCATCATCCCTGCCAGAGCATCAGTGGTATTATGGGATGCTTCCTTATGTGGAACTATCCCTCCAGGCATCTTGGTCCCCACCCTCCAAATGCCAGCAGTGTCCCCCAGACCTTATGGCAAACAAAAAAGTCTCCACGCATTTCCAAATATCCCCAGGAGTGTAATTCTGGTCCCTGTTGAGAACAACTAAGCTTAAGATTTTTTTTTTTAGGCAGAAGGATGACAAGATCAATTTGTATTTCAGGAAACCATCTCTGGTGATCAGGCTGAAGAAACGCTGGAAAAAATGGAAATCAGAGGCAGGAAATGTAGCTCAAGAGGTGACTGCAACAGTCCAGATAATGAGAGGTAATCAGGTCTTGCATTGAGGCAAAGGTGGTAAAGATGGAGCAGAGGTGAGAAATTCAAGAAATAGTCACAAAGAGAATCACAGGACTTGCTAATCAAGCAGCTATGGGAGGTTGAGTATAAGACAAAAGGGAGGGCTTCCCTGGTGGCTCAGTGGTTAAGAATCTGCCTGCCAATGCAGGGGACACGGGTTCGAGCCCTGGTCCAGGAAGATTTCACATGCCGCGGAGCAACTAAGCCCGTGAGCCACAACTACTGAGCCTGCACTCTACAGCCCACGAGCCACAACTACTGAGCCTGCATGCCACAACTACTGAGGCCCGCATGCCTAGAGCCCGTGCTCCGCAACAAGAGAAGCCACCACAATAAGCCCACGCACAACAACGAAGAGTTGCCTCCGCTCGCTGCAACTAGAGAGTGCCCCCATGCAGCAACGAAGACCCAACGCAGCCAAAAATAATAAATAAATATATAAATATACTAAAAAACAAAACAAACACATGCCCTTCACTCATAAAAAAAGATAACCTAGCTTGCATACTAGGGTGGATAGAATCCAAGAGTCAACACAGAAGGAAGAACTGCTTATGCATGCTAAAATAGACAACTAGGGGAGGAAGTTTTTGCTTCGTTGAAAATGGTTTACAAGTGTCTGAATAAACACATTAGTTAGGCGCCATGAGAAGAGAGGAGGCGGCCCAAGGAATGTGATGGCGAGAATAAGGAGATGAAGGGCAGAAGCTTAGGAAACAATATTAAAAGGGCAGGCAGAGCAGAAGCCATGGCAAGAGAATGCAAAGGAGCAGAGGGGGCAGGACCAGTGGATTGGGCCTGGTTCTGATGGACAGGAACTGCAGCAAGCATTCCTGGAATCGGAGGTGTATGCAAACTTCTGCTCCTTTGATATACACTGCTGCGGAAACTACGGGTTGTGCAAGAGAGAGTAACCCTGCTGTCAAGTTGGCCAGAAATGTGTGTAGGAAATATAAAAGGAGGGTGACACAGATCATCTGCACACCAGCTCTTCCTTGTGAGACATCTAGTGGCAAATAAAACAATATGGGATGAGCTTCCCTGGTGGCGCAGTGGTTAAGAATCTGCCTGCCAATGCAGAGGACATGGGTTCAAGCCCTGGTCCGGGAAGATCCCACATGCCACGGAGCAACTAAGCCTGTGTGCCACAACTACTGAGTCCGCGCTCTAGAGTCCGGAGCCACAACTAGTGAGCCCGTGTGCCACAACTACTGAAGCCCACGTGCCTAGAGCCCGTGCTCCACAACAAGTGAAGCCACTGCAATGAGACACCCACGCACTGCAACAAAGAGTAGCCCCTGGTCGCCGCAACTAGAGAAAGCCTGCGCGCAGCAATGAAGACCCAACGCAGCCAAAAATAAATAAATTAAATAAATTAAAAACATATGTATATGGGAAATCATAGCTTCCCTGTGTGCCATGGAAACTCCCACCTTAATGTTATATGGGGGTCAGGGTATGCTCGTAAGCTGGGAACTCGTATAACTAAGGGCGGAACTGCCTGATGAACAAAGCTGCTGTGCTCTGCTGGTGGGACACGGGGACCAGGACGCTCTGAACGTACCCTGGAGTAGACATTTGATTGTTCCCTAGAGCCCATCCTTCCTGAGTCCTCCTAAGCACCTATCCTGGTCTCAATGGAGCCTATGAGCTGGAGGTAGGACCGCAGCCCATGCTCTGGGGTGAGCTGTGATTAGCTTATGCCAACCAGCACGTCCTGTCTCCTCGCCCAACCTCATCCCTCCCTGCGGTAACTGGTTGGGGGTTGTGGGAGGGGTTTGTTCAGTAATGGAGAACGTGACTCAACGCAGATCAATGCAATGGGAAGGGATTTCTACCTGCCAAAAGTATGGAAAAAAGAAGTCTCACTCCATTAAGAAAAACTACCGGAAGAGACGCTCTCTATTCCTGCTGGACGTGCACAAGGAAGTAGGTAGCCCATGGGAGCTGCTGGTAGCCAGCTTGCAACCGTGAGGGATAAGGAAGACACTGAAGAAGGCCGAGGGGAGAGAAGGAGAGAAACTGGGGTCCTAGTTACACCACCAAAAGGCTAGCCCAAGCCTTACCTGGAGTCCATCCTGACTACTGGACTTTTCAGTTAGTAAGCCAATAAATTCTACTTTCTCAGTCAATTTAAGAGAGGCTTGCAGCTTTCTGCCATTAGAGGATTCCTAACTGATGTGTCTATTCTCTTATGATGACAAATCTCTAAAAGCACCTGGAGAGAATTCAATGTGAATATGGCTTTCAGCTCAGGGATGTCTTAAGCACAAAAGAATGCTATGATAAGGCCAGTGTCGTGAACGTGAATGGCGATACAAGGTACAGGTCTGCAGGCAAATCTGCTGACGCTGCTTGGGAAAAATCGACTGATAGAGGGAGAAGAGCCTCTCAGAGACGAGGCAAGAACCACGGCTCCAAGTCCCACCCAGTACTCACGTGTCTCCTCTCGGCATCGGTGCCATGCTGCCCCTGGAAGCAGGCCACCAGGCGCTTGTGGGAATGGTGACACATGGAGCGCACTGTGTCCAAGCGCCGCTCGATCTGACAACACAAAGACAGACGAGCCGTTGGCAAGGCTCAAGACCAACTCAGCCTCTTCCTCCTGCGATGTTTGCACGTAGGCAGGAAAAAGCATCCTGCCGTTGAATTTTTCAGCTCTTGGATGTAAATGGAAATGGTTCCCATGCAGCTACACCAGGGTTTCTCATTATTGATAAGTGGGCTGGAGAATTCTGGGTTGTGGGCAGCTGTCCCTACTGCATTATCAGTAGGTTTACCATCATTTCTGGTCTCCACCCACTAGATGCCAGTAGCACCCAACTCCCCTCTTCGTGACAACCAAGACTGCCCCCAGACATTGTCAAATATCCCCCCCAGAGGGCAAAATCACCCCTAGTTGAGAAACAATGAGTTTTCAGATCCCTTAAAGGCTGAATCTATGTCCAGGGGTAGGGGACAGTCCTGACTAGAACTTGCTATCAGATAAGTGGTGACAAACTCACACACTACAGCACCAGCAAAGTCCCAGGTCCAACGAGCAGAACTGCAAATGAACAGCCTAAGCCCAGCCTCAGGCCCAAGGCCAAGTGCGAAAGCCACAGGGACATTCAGCTCTCTCCTGCACATGGCAATGGAGCCTTCCACACATGGTACAACAGACAGAGAATCAAAAAAAAATGTTCCACAACTAAAACTCAAGATCAATGTTTTCAAAATTATTCCTTATTAGGCTTGGGGTGTTTTTTTTTTTTTTAATAATAAACCTCTAAAGCAGAATGGACAGCCAGCAGTAAGAAACACTGACTTAGGGGGCCCACACATCATGATTAGCTTCCCAAAATATTATTGCTGGGATATGGCTGTTTATGGCAAAGAGAGCTGCTTTTTACAGGAAGGAATGCCAAAAATGTGTATTCTGATGACTCATTAAGAATGAGGGCAGGCCCTTAGGGATGCTTTCTATTTTAAAGAAAAATCAACAAGTTCAAAGCAGAATACATTTCTACCCCAAAACATTTTACCCAATGTGATGGTTTTGTGCCTCCTTCTCAAGCAGCCCTTCTTCAGATCCAAGGCCCCATCCCAGGACCCCGATTTGCAGCCACATTTATTTAGGGCCAGATGCCACATTACTTGCCCAAAATCTTATAATGACCCGATTCTAAGGCATTGGAAAACCAATACACGTTCTTCATTTGCCACAAAAGCGGCGGTTGGGGGGGGGGGCGGGGGGGGAAAACCCCCAAAACTCCATTTCACTTGATTCCAATTTCCTCTAGAATGTAAAGTCCAAAGGGACAGGGCCTTGGTCTGTTTTGTTCACAGATTTATCCCAAGTGCCTAGATCACTGCCTGGCCCAAATGGAAGGTAATATTTGTTGAAAGAACAAGTATATATATTGTATATACCCTGTACAAGGTATTAGAAAAACAACAGTAAGTAAATTGTGGTTCCCACCCTCTTGGGATTCACAGCCTCCTGGGTAAACTCCATACAAACAAGATAAAAAGGCAGCCTCTTGAACTGCTCTACCAGAGATCTAAGAAAAGAGGCAGGAGAAAGAGCAAATTAAGGAAAGTCTCACATCAGAGACAAAATAATCTCTGTGGGGGCTTCCCTGGTGGCGCAGTGGTTGAGAGTCCGCCTGCTGATGCAGGGGACGCGGGTTCGTGCCCTGGTCCGGGAGGATCCCACATGCCGCGGAGCGGCTGGGCCCGTGAGCCATGGCCGCTGAGCCTGCACGGGAGAGGCCACAGCGGTGAGGGGCCCGCGTACCGAAAAAAAAAAAAAATCTCTGTGGCTTGTGACAGTGGTAATCATACCAACAAATCACTAATATAATATTTAGCCCTCACTACGTGATGGGCCCCACTCCCAGTGCTAACCATGTTTAACCCATGAACCCCTCCTAACAAACCCATGGGGTGATACAATGATTACCCTCCTTTTAGAGAAGTGGAAACTGAGGTAGAGGGAGGTTAAGTGAATTCCCGAGGCCACCGAGCTAGTCAGGGGCAGACCTGGGATGGGAATCCAGGTAGCTGGTCACCAGACCCAGCACTCAGCACTTTGAACCATTACATGCCTTTATGGTTAAAAAACAAAACAAAACAGAAATCAGAGCAGGAAAACAATTGCTGCAAACGTGGAGTATCTGTGTTATAAAATAAGGAGTTCCTATATCCAGTGACAAACCATAATGGAAAAGAATATGAAAAAGAATGTGCATATGTATATAACTGAGTCACTTTGCTGTACAGCAGAAATTAACACAGCATTGTAATGTAAATCAACTACACTTCAATAAAATAAATTAAAAAAAAAAAGGGGGCTCCTAGAAACTAGCAAACTCCTCAGGCCCCAGCGGACATTTGGGCAAAGGGACAAGCACAGACAGTCACTGTCTGAGTCCCGTGTGATCTCTGCCATCCTCCACCTGCCTGCAAGGCCTCTGGCCTCCTTGCAGGGCTTAAAGAATGAAATGGAATGACGTATATTATTGACGTGGGATGTAGGTGGGAGAATGCTGACAGGAAAACCTAGTGTAACCGTACCAAACAATATTTCTAAAATTCTGAAAATGGATTTGAAATATCTGATAAAAACCAGTGAGGAAATACTGTTAAGAATCTGATTCTTAAACTATAATATTGTACATCAACTATGCCTTAATAAAAATTTTTTTTTTAAGATTATGATTCCTTAATAAATCTTTTCTTGAAAAATCCCTTCTAATCCTTGATAAAAACTTCTAGTCCTCAAAAGTAGAAAAAAAAAGTGCTCTTAAAATCTACCTGCAGAAGACTGCCATAATTTAGAAGGCTGTTTTGGCATGGTGGGGCAGAAATAGCTTTTTTTAAAATTATGCAGCTGCTTCTCTGCATGGGAAGAGACAGAAAGCCACCTGGGAGCAGATCTCTGGTCTCCAGGGACTCGCTGGAGTGCACCAGAGGCAGGTGATGGAAATGAAAGGCAAGGAAAAGGTGCAGAAGGGGTCCCGTCCTTCACAAAATATTCGGTGTGGGTGGGGATGGAGTGGGGTTGGTTAAAGTGATGTGTATAAAGGGTCCAGGCTCTCCTGGGAGAAACTCCCAGCCCCAAAGTTAGGGAAACCTGTTGAGAAATGGCATGGTGTGGCCCTGGCTAAGGTCCCTAGCAGGAAATGCCCCTCCCTATGGAAAGGAAAGTCTGGCCCACTGGTGTGAGGCCACACTAGGGCCCCTGGGGGGTTCTGAGATCTGGTCACTGTCACTGAGACTCTGAGTCCTTCAGGACCCAACTTAGGGAAGAAGTTCTAGGGAAGAAGCATAAAAGGGAGCAAAAAACCCAAAGTCTAGGTTGGAACCAGTGGGGTCACTGCCGCAGCTGGCAGAGCCTGTCCCATCAAGGTCGCCAGTGCAGCAGCCTGCCCAGGACGCATGACCAGGCCACAGTGCCAGTGGACTGGCCAGGCCAGCCAGGCTCCTCCCCCGTGCTCACCCCAACACCTGGCACTTGAACGCAGGACTAGCTCCATCTGAACTTCATAACATGACACCAAAGTTTCAGATCCCCTTTTGATCACTGCACAACTCAACTGCTTTTCTTTCCTGCTCAAAACCATGCTAATCACGCTAATTCTGTTTCAGGCAAAACCCCCAAAAAAGCAAAGAACCATAAGCTTCAGTTCTTCCTATGGGTTTTTGTTGCTGTTGTTGTTTAAACAGAGCACTTTTAAAAGTCTTTCTTTTGTTACCTGTAACAGATCTTCACTGAGGACTTCTGTTTTCTCGGCTCTGTGGGAAAAATGAAAAGTTCAAAATTAGACATTCAGAAATAAAAAGCAACTCATGAAATTGAGTAATTATTGTCCTGGAATTTAAAACAAAACAGGCAGAAATGAATGATCACAAGGGGACAAATTTTACCAATTTTTATATCAAAGGGCAACTTAAGAAAAAAACAAAGAAAAAAAACAAATGAGGGGCTTCCCTGGTAGCACAGTGGTTAAGAATCCACCTGCCAATGCAGGAGACACAGGTTTAAGTCCTGGTCCGGGAAGATCCCACATGCCACGTGCGCCACAACTACTGAGCCTGCACTCTAGAGCCTGCAAGTCACAACTACTGAGCCTGTGTGCTGCAACTACTGAAGGCCGCGTGCCCCAGAGCCCACGCTGCGCAACAAGAGAAGCCTGCACACCACAGTGAAGAGTAGCCCCTGCTCTCCGCAACTAGAGAAAGCTGCGTGCAGCAACAAAGACCCAAGGCAGCCAAAAATAAATAAATAAATAAATTTATTAAAAACAAAAACAAATGAAAGTTTGCAGAGAATAGCACCCCAAAACAAGAACAAATGATTGAGACCAGTGGTTCTCAAACTTGGGCATGCACAGACCCACCAGGGGGTTGGGGGAGGATGTGCTGTCTTAAAATGCCATTTTCCTGGTCTCACCTCAAGAGTTTCTAATTCCATAGGTCTGGAGTGAGACCCTGCATTTTCTTTTTGAATTTTATTTATTTTTTTATACAGCAGGTTCTTATTAGTCATCAATTTTATACACATCAACGTATACATGTCAATCCCAATCTCCCAATTCATCACACCACCACCCCCACCTCCCGCCGCTTTCCCCCTTGGTGTCCATATGTTTGTTCTCTACATCTGCATCTCTATTTCTGCCCTGCAAACCAGTTGATCTGTACCATTTTTCTAGGTTCCACATATATGCGTTAATATATATTTGCTTTTCTCTTTCTGACTTCATTCTGTATGACAGTCTCTAGATCCATCCATGTCTCTACAAATGACCCAATTTTGTTCCTTTTTATGGCTAATATTCCATTGTATATATGTGCCACATCTTCTTTATCCATTAGTCTGTCGATGGGCATTTAGGTTGCTTCCATGACATGGCTATTGTAAATAGTGCTGCAATGAACATTGGGGTGCATGTGTCTTTTTGAATTATAGTTTTCTCTGGGTATATGCCCAGTAGTGGGATTGCTAGGTCATATGGTAGTTCTAGTTTTAGTTTTTTAAGGAACCTCCATACTGTTCTCCATAGTGGCTGTATCAATTTACATTCCCACCAACAGTGCAAGAGGGTTTCCTTTTCTCCACACCCTTTCCAGCATTTGTTGTTTGTAGATTTTCTGATGATGCCCATTCTAACTGGTGTGAGGTGATACCTCATTGTAGTTTTGATTTGCATTTCTCTAATAATTAGTGATGTTGAGCAGCTTTTCATGTGCTTCTTGGCCATCTGTATGTCTTCTTTGGAGAAATGTCTGTTTAGGTCTTCTGCCCATTTTTGGACTGGGTTGTTTGTTTTTTTAATATTGAGCTGCATGAGCTGTTTATATATTTTGGAGATCAATCCTTTGTCCGTTGATTCGTTTGCAAATATTTTTTCCTATTCTGAGGGTTGTCTTTTCATTTTGTTTATGGTTTCCTTTGCTGTGCAAAAGCTTTGAAGTTTCATTAGGTCCCATTTGTTTATTTTTGTTTTTATTTCCATGACTCTAGGAGGTGGATCAAAAAAGATCTTGCTTTGAGTTATGTCAAAGAGTGTTCTTCCTATGTTTTCCTCTAAGAGTTTTATAGCGACTGGTCTTACATTTAGGTCTCTAATCCATTTTCAGTTTATTTTTAAAAAATTAATTTATGTATTTATTTATGGCTGTGTTGGGTCTTCGTTTCTGTGCAAGGGCTTTCTCCAGTTGTGGCAAGCGGGGGCCACTCTTCATCGCGGTGCATGGGCCTCTCACTGTTGTGGCCTCTCTTGTTGCGAAGCACAGGCTCCAGATGCGCAGGCTCAGTAGTTGGGGCTCACGGGCCTAGTTGCTCCATGGCATGTGGGATCTTCCCAGACCAGGGCTCGAACCTGTGTCCCCTGCCTTGGCAGGCAGATTCTCAACCACTGCGCCACCAGGGAAGCCCCATTTTCAGTTTATTTTTGTGTATGGTGTTAGGGACTGCTCTAATTTCATTCTTTTACATGCAGCTCCCCAGTTTTCCCAACACCACTTATTGAAGAGTCTGTCTTTTCCCATTGTATATCCTTGCCTCTTTTGTCATAGACTAGTTGACCATAGGTGCGTGAGACCCTGCATTTTTTTATAAGCCCCTCCCTGCCCAGAATTCCATGGCAGGAGGCCTGTAGACCACACTTTGAGAAAAGACTGCTCTAGAGAAAATTAAACTTCAGTTCTTCAAATGACCATTTCTGAGTTTCACAGCAAACAAGTCTGTCACAAATCCAGAAACATTATGCAATGAGTAACAACAATTGAGTCTTCCTTCCTTCAACTATCTCATCTTTATTTTCAAAAGAAACAAAGTGGGGCTTCCCTGGTGGTGCAGTGGTTGAGAGTCCGCCTGCCGATGCAGGGGACATGGGTTCGTGCCCCGGTCCGGGAGGATCCCACATGCCGCGGAGCGGCTGGGCCCGTGAGCCATGGCCGCTGAGCCTGCGCGACCGGAGCCTTTGCTCCACAACGGGAGAGGCCACAACAGTGAGAGGCCCGCGTACCGCAAGAAACAAAAAAAAAAACAAAAAAAGAAACCAAAGTATTTTCACAACTTTCCCTTATCTATGCTTCAGAACTCCTGTGGACTTCAAGGACCTTTCTAGAAGATCCATGTGGCAGCCAACGATCTATTTTTAGTTTTTAGTTCTATTTTTAGTTTTTTAAGGAAACTCCATACTGTTCTCCATAGTGGCTGTATCAATTTACATTCCCACCAACAGTGCAAGAGGGTTCCCTTTTCTCCACACCCTCTCCAGCATTTGTTGTTTGTAGATTTTCTGATGATGCCCATTCTAACTGGTGTGAGGTGGGGCAGGGACTGGTGTGATTTTCTGATGATGCCCATTCTAATTGGCAGAGCATTCTGAGCTGCTGGAGCCTCAGCTGCCAGATCACAGTCATTTTTGACAAAGACTTTTTCTCCACAGTCCAAAAAGGCAGCATTGTTGCCATACAATGTTATACCCAGAATCACTACAAAGTGACATTTTGGATTTCTGGTTCAAATAGTGATTTAAACCAAGTCATTTAACATTCCCTACCAAATTTCCATTGAAACGAACCAGGGAATTTTTAAAGGAAAAAGAAAAAAACTGTTTCAGTTCTGATCACTGAAGGAGGGGGGAAGGAAGAGCATCAGTGAACCAGAAAATCTGAGGCCTTTTTATCAGATACACTGCTCAATGGAAGGCTGCATGATCTTGCCCATGAACCAACACGAGAGAAGGAAAAGTCATTTGGCCAAAAAAGGGTGGGACCCCCTAGAACGACCTCAAAACACTGCTAGGCTCAGAGCAGCACGAGACGCAACAAGTATGGTGGCCCACACCCCCAGCTCACACTTGGGTGATGGCACGTCAAGTTAACCCCAGGCGTTGGCACAGAGAATTCCAATACTGGTCGTCACAGCAGTGCCCCAGTTAACTTGGAGATGCCTACAGGAGTGGCTCACTCATTGGTTTCTGCAGGAAACTGGAACTCTGACCTGACTCAAATACCTCCCAGGTCCAGAGGAGCCCAGCCTGGAGATGAGGTCGAGGTCCCAGCTTCCAGAAGAGGTCAACTCTCAACTCCATGAACAAGTTGTGCAAGCAGCAAGCCAATATGCCATTCCAGCCCTCGCTTGGCACACGTGGTGCCAGGCACTGCTGAAGCACCAAACACAGGTAGTCACGCCAGTTAGGGAAGTGGAGCAGGGCCCCAGCTGACTATAAGCTCAAGCAAGCAGCCTCAGAAAGAAGTCTGACAGTTGGCCTAGGAGGGACAGATCCGGCATGAGACTGCCATAGCTTCACCATTACTCCCTCTCAATTAACAGCCTTGCCACTCCTCAAGCAAAGTACCACCACTGGACTATGTAAGTTTCACCTTGTCTTCACTGGCCAGAACCCAAAGGTCTGGATAGGGCCCTGGGCACCTCTGACAGCACTCTGAAATCTCCTTCTGTAGGTATAAGTATACACAGAGAAAAGTACCAAGGCCTATTAAAATATTCACAAGTTCAAAAGAATAGATTCAGAGCAAATATGTCCTCTTTCGAAACAAAATGTGAGGTACCACCACACTGGTCAGAATGGCTATCATTAAAAAGTCTACAAATAACAAATGCTGGAGAGGGTGTGGAGAAAAGGGACCCCTCCTACACTGTTGGTGGGAATGTAAGTTTCCACTATGGAAAACAGTATGGAGGTTCCTTAAAAACTAGAGTTATCGTATGATCTAGCAATCCCACTCCTGGGCATATATTCCAGACAAAATTATAATTCAAAAAGATATATGTATCCCAATATTTACTGCAGCACTATTTACAATAGGCAAGACATGGAAGCAACATAAGTGCCCATCAACAGATGAATAAAGAAGATGTGGTATATATAAACAATGGAATATTACTCAGCCATACAAAAGAATACAATAATGTCACTTGCAGCAACCTGGATGGACCTAGAGATTACCATACTAAGTGAAGAAAGTCAGACAGAGAAGGACAAATATCATATGATATCACCTACATGTGGAATCTAGAATATGATTCAAATGAACTTACTTACAAAACAGAAACAGATTCACAGACATAGAAAACAAACCTATGGTTACCACAGGGGAAGGGGGAAGAAGGAATAAATTAGTAGGAGTGAGTTTGGGATTATATAAAATAGATAAACAACAAGGTCCTACTGTATAGCACAGGAAACTATAGTCAATATCTTGTAATAAACCATAATGGAAAAGAATATATATATGTGTATGTGTAATT